AAAAAACAAAAAAAAAAAAAAAAAAAAAAAAAAAAAAAAAATCAACGATAATTTGCTAAGAATTTTCAAACGGTTAAGACTGAAACAAGGAGCTTGGATCAAGGAGCTTTTAGCTCATACATTGAAAGATTTTGTCATGTTTTCTCAGTGGGCCCGTGACACAATGATGAAACGTTGATGAGACATCAGCTGATTATGAGCTAGATCAGTTCCATGCAATTTTTTTTTTTTTTTTTTTTAACACGACAGACCTAAACCCTTCCCAGAATTCCGGGTCAAATCACAAATAAGATAAGAGGAACAATAACATAGCGGATAACCTGTTGTTCACATCCACGACGTTTTAAATGTGTGTTCTTTAAATTTCGCATAGACATGCTATTAACATGAGACGGTAGATACTTGACAGCCTGTCAAGCAGTGGCGTAGCTAGGGGAGAGGGAAGAGGGGTCCAAATTCGAAAGTACCCCCGGGCCCGTACTTGAGGTGGGCCCCCTAAGTCGCGTCCGATTTTTTTTTTTTTACATTAAATAATGTCGAATGTCAAAATGCAGGGCCCCTAAAAAGGCCAAGGCCCCCGGGCCCCCAGGATTCCCCCAAATCACTAGCTACGCCACTGCTACCAAGTCATCATAACAAGAACTAGATGTTCACCATTTAAACGCGAATATCATTAGGCCAGAAAAGGCAATCATTGAAAAAAATTTGCATCCAAAATTAAAATAATTAATTTTAACAACAATAAACATTTGCTTAAACTAGTATATGAGGCTAACCACAAGGCAGCATAGTCAGCAAAATCAAATTCATATAACAATACATTTACATCCAGATTAAGCTAATCTTTAAACAAGTTTGAAAGAAATGAAGTCCTGGAAATTTCTTTTTCAGATTAAAAAAACAACAAAAACAACAAAATCAAACACGTAAATTCTATTGCACATTTGGGAAAAATATCTATAGTTTTTTTTTTTTTTTTGTTTTTTTTTTGTAGCCAGCCTCATGTTATGAACTCTGTTGATAAACTGCTTTGAAAAAAAATATCTTAGCTTAAACAATTTTTATAAAATGGTATTCATTGAANCCCCCCCCCCCCCAAGACTTAATCACTTTTGTAATTTTAGAACAAATAACAGAACTAAGTGTTTAGAATAACTAATTAAATCTCGTGTTCTCGTTGATTGGGAAATCTTTTTTTTTTTGTTTTCCGTTGCACGCAAAAATACAAACACGATTGTCATTTGAAATTAAGATAATTTTCCGAAACCCTTTTACCTCCCTTTGATCAGATTTCCCGCGTCGTCAACAGATCTGATTATCAATAAATCTTGAGATCGCCATTAAATGGTATGCACTCATTATTTTAAGGCACGGACCTATCTCTGCTGTCTGTGTAGCTATTCGCGCTGATTTTAGTTGTGTGTCTTTCTCTTCAAACAATCTTTAAATAAGTGAAGCCATCGATAGTTATTGTACTCAAGGGTGCCTTCTAATTAACTGACGTAAGCACACAAGTTTTTCCTGAAATTTTCAATTATTTGTACAGGCAATTAATTCAGTATCGTATGCTAACTTTGTTTAGAGTGAGACATAGTGAGCCTTGGTGAAAAAGATATTACAAATTGGACTGCAAAAAAAAATTGTTAATTAACCTTTAATTGGCTGGCTGCTACGAAAGAATATAAATTCTTGATGTGTTGTCAGTCGAACAAAAAGTATTAAAACAATGACGGTTCTCATTTTGATTGCAATAAGCATAGATAATTTAAGTTCTGCATATACAAAATTACTCTCTGAATCGAGTCCAAACTTTCGTTTAATTGTCCTGTCTTTCTTTTCAAGTCTAAACACATCTTGTTACGCTATTTATTTACTTTACGCGGCTTGAACGCAGAACCTCATATATTTACCCTTTATTTCGCTTTATGTTATACATATTTTTAAAACAAAATTATTTTTTTTTATTTGTGGTACTCTGTTAATGTTTATCATAACAAATAATAATTTTTTTTTCATTAAAAAAATACACATTTGAAACGATTTAAATTTTAAAAAATTGTTTAAATGTACATTTTGGAAAACAAACAAACTTAGTAAGAAGTGCAAGATTTATTTAGCCATAAGAGATATGGAATTATCTACATCTTGGTACCAGTACGATGTTGCTCGAGGCGGCGTCACGGGCGGCAACGAAATCCGATTTGTGAGTGACGAGGCCCGCCAGTGGGTGGAGTTCGCGGTCTTCGTCATCGCAATGGCCGTGATCAGCGTCCTTGGCAACACGGCAAACTGCATCAACCTCGTCGTCTTCATAAAACAGGTACTGGAATACTTTCTAGATTTGCCTAAAATTATGTTATATGACACGAATATTTATGTCATTATTTAAGTTATCGTCAATGTAGATTCACACATTGCCGTCAATATAGACTAACATTTTTACATTTGAGAAGGAAAAAAAAAACTTTACCTAATTAAAAGGGACGCCACAGCCACATTCTTTAACCCATGACATTGTTGAAAACCATGCTTTAAATGAATATTCCAATTAGGGCTTTATTTTAATTTAAATTATGTACAATATCAAAAACGAAGGCCATGCCAGTGTGACATTATTCGCGGGTCTGATGGCTTCCTGGAAAGGGCATTCAAGTTGAATATATAGTTTTATCGAAGTGGCTCTTCGGACCCGGGTCCCAGAAGTGAGAGGCTGGGATTAAACAAATATTGTAAAAAATATCATTGTTTGGTTGTAAGACAAAAGTAGTATCAATTGAAAGATAATTGAAGGGAATATATTTTTTTAAAACTTACTTCTTCAGTTTAACTAAAATAAACTACTACAAATGACATCAGAATGGCATTTAATCTATCGAGACCCGGGTCCGAATAGCCACAGCCTATTTTTATTTCTGGGAATCTTCATTTGTCTATGTAAATGTGGAGGGATGAGGGGGAAAATAATCTGCGACAAAATGGAAGATTTAGTAAAAAAAAATATATATATTTTTAAAATACAAGACTAGATTTTCAACAAATGAAAACAGCAAATAATTTTTTTCTCGTTCCCCAATTACTGATGAAAATCAAAGTTGGTGTTCGGATGCATTATTTAAACACGATCCAGAAAAGACAGTGAATGCAATTTTAAATTGAAAGCATCTTTGGTTTATTACAGATTCAATATAAACTTAAAACTTAATTTTGTAAATGATATTTCATGACTTTGATCATTCTCTATTTGAAAAGGAACAAAGAAATTGAGTTGCTGGTATAAAACGATCATGTTGTGTTCTCGTGTGTTCTTGTGTGTTCTTATGTGTTCTATTGTGTTTTTGTGTGTTCTTGTGTGTGCCTATGTGTTCTTGTGTGCTCTTGTGCGTTTTTTATGTTTTTGTGTGTTTGTTACTGTGTTTTATTGTATTTTCTTGTGTGCTCTTGTCTGTTCTTGTGCATTCTTGTGTGCTCTTGTGTGTTCTTATGTGTTCTTGAGTGTTCTGTCGTATTCTTGTGTATTCGTGTGTTTATTGTGTGTTTTGGGGTTTTCTTGTGTGCTCTTCTTGTGTGTTATTGTGTGTTTATATATTTTTAACATTTCACTTCCTGCAGGGTTTTTCAGATTCGGTCAATATCAGCCTGATAGGGTTGGCCCTGGCTGACCTGGGTTGTCTTATACCTGTTTTATGGAAAACTGTGTCTTTCAACCCGTTGTTCCATTATTCTGACATACCTTTTGACTCTGTAGACATCCAGTACCTGACATCAGGTGAGTTACAGGACATAATTCTGACATACCTTTTGACTCTGTAGATATCCAGTGCCTGACATCAGGTGAGTTACAGGACATATTCACGGAATATTAATTGAAATAAATTGTGTGTTATTGTGATACGAATTGTTTCTTGATAATTTTAGTGAAACCCATACTTGTAATAAGAAATAGTGGCATACTGTACCTGGGAATGTTTGTAGGTTTGGAGAATCACTGAATTGCAGAAGGGTATTGATCTTAACTTCTATGAAGCTGGGAGACAATTTTAAAATAAAGAGATTAATTTTTTTTTAAAAATGATTGAACAAAAAAATATACATACTTCTATGATTGAAACACATTTTTTTGTTGCTATGTTCTGTGATCTCAGGATTGATACCTTTTTTGTATTTTTTCTACAAATCCCAATTTTTTTACAAATATTTTTTTGACAACGTTATAAAACAGTGAAATGTCAGTGTCAGTCTTATTTATAGGATTAAATGAGCTCAATCATGTGGTAAAAGTTCAAACGTAAGTAACAAAGTTTTGGCTAGAAGTCTTGTTCTCTCTGAAAGAGTGTGGCATGAATCATTATGTACTTATGTCACATTATACTATGTGTTAGTATTATATTCCGATACTGCCGGCAGCACCCTGAAAGGACAGGTTCATCGTAGAGAGCTAAACGATCCTCTGAAATGTAACGTTTTAAAGTAGTAAATCGTCTCGGGCAATATACGATGGCAACTTTTAAAGAAATTTGCAGATTACGATTTTTAAAAAAAATGTGTTGCCCTACACCCCTCTCTCCACAGCGTGGCCCCACGTTTGTTTCGCCAGGATAACAGGCCTGGTCACGGGCTTCATCACTTTGGAGCGGTGTCTCTGCGTGGTCCTGCCCCTGACGGTGAAGCGCATCCTGACCCCGCGCCGGACCGTCCTCGCCATGGCGGCCATCTACCTCGCCATGTTCGCCAGCGTCGCCCCGGTCTTCTCCGTGATCCACTTCGGACAGAAGTTCTACGACCTGCGGAACAGATCTCTCTACGGCCTCGTCTATGACGCGGACGGCGCAGCCGTGGAGAACGTGTCTTTTACAATCACCATCTTCGCGCAGTTGTTTTCCATCCTGTTGGTCGTCACGTGCACGGCCGTCACCACGATCAAGCTGAAGACAAATTCAAAATGGAGACGAAGTGTCGGCTCCGCCAGCGCCCACGGGGGCGGCGAATTGACAAGGCGCGACAAAAAGGTCGTCAAGATGGTGGTGTTCATCTCGTGCATCTTCATCACGTGCTTCCTCCCCACGGCGGTCAACTTGATCATGGGGTTGTTCGTCACCGAGTACAGTTTCATCGGGAAGTTCCGCAACGTGTACCAGGTGGTGTGGTGCGGCGTGTACGTCTTGGAGACGACCAACAGCTCCGTGAACATCGTCGTGTACTACAACATGAGCTCGAAGTACAGATCTGTGTTCCAGCAGCTGTTCTGTAAGAGAAAAGTAAATTTTCGAAGGAAACAACCAAACTTAAATAATGCATAATTTGAAATTAGGATGTTTCATCTATATCATTGGTAATTAAAAAAATGAAATAGGGTGGGGGACTAATATTACAAAACATAAATATGTAATATAATTTCACGATTTCTATGGGGTAAGACAACGTAAGGAAAACAAACTATTTATTTTTTCGGCAGAAAAGAGTTAATGGCTTGCTTCCCCTTTTCATAGCATTTGCGGTTTGGCTAAGTTAACATGGATTGGATGAAGATAACGAGAATTTAAAGGAAAAAAATTACTCATATTAAAAGAAAACATTAATTATATATATATATATATATTATTGGGTCTGTTTGAATTAGTTCTACTCAACTCATTGAAACTGACTTTAGAAACAACAAACATGATTTCGGAACCAATCGAATATGTAGCTGGCGACTAGAGACCGACCGAAAGTGATTTTCTGATTTCGGCCGAATCCGAAAATAGGCCGAAAGTTTAAAAATGACTTTTGACCGAAACCGAAAAAAGACCGAAAGTTAAAAATGACTTTCGGCCGAAACCGAAACCAAAGTCGAAACCAAAGTCGAAACCAAAAATGAACAATTTAGATATTTTGAAATTCGTTCTATTATACATTCAGGATACATCGAAAATAAATAGTTACATTCTTTCTATAAAAAAATGAGATAATAATGAATATTAATAAATAAACATCTAACATAACATCTTGTTCTTAAAGATCGGTTAGTTTGTTCATAGAGATCGTTTAGTTTGTTGTTAAAAATCGTTTATTTTATTTTTAAAGATCGCTTAGTTTGTTCTTAAAGATCGGTTAATTTTTTTTAAAAAGATCTTTTAGTTTGTGTTATTAAAAGATCGTTTAGTTTGTTCATAAAGATTGCTAAGTTTGTTCTCAAAAATCATTGATTTTGTTCTTAAATATCACTTGGTTGTTCTTAAAGATCATTCAGCTTGTTCTTAAAGATCATTTAGTTTGTTTGTATAGATCTTTTAATTTGTTATTAAAAATCGTTTAGTTTGTTGTTAAAGATCGCTTATTTTGTTTTTGAAGATCGCTTAGTTTTTTCAATAAGATCGCTTAGTTTGTTCTTATAGATAATTAATTTTGTTCCTTAAGAACGATTACTTTGTTCTTAAAGATCTTTTAGTTTGTTCCTAAAGAACATTTAGTTTTCTGTTAAAGATCGCTTAGTATATTCTTATAAATCATTTAATTTACTATTATAGATCATTTAATTTACTATTATAGATCATTTGTTTTGTTCTTAAAGATCATTTAGTTCGTTCTTAAAGATCGCTAAAGTCCTTTAAGATCGTTTAGTTTTTAATTATAGATCTCTTAGATTTTCTTAAAGATCGTTTTGTTTGTTTTAAAGATCGTTTAGTTTTTTCTTAAATGTCGCTTAGTTTGTTGTTAAATATCGTTTAGTTTGTTCTCGAAGATCGCTTAAATTGTTCTGAAAGATCGCTTTATTTGTTTTTAAAGATCACTTTATTTGTTTTTAAAGATCGTTTAGTTTGTTCTTTAAGATCGCTTAATTTGTTCTTAAAAATCGTTTATTTTGTTCTTAAATGTCATTTAGTTTGTTGTTAAATATCACTTTTGCTGAGAATTTGATGACCGAAAACCTCAGTAACTTTCGGCCAGATGGTCAATTTCGGCCGAAACCGAAAAAAACAACGAAAGTTAACTTTCCCTTTCAGCCGAAACCGAAATTAAGCCGAAAGTTAACTTTAAGTTTCGGGCCGAAACCGACCGAAACTTGGCCGAAAGTGATAAAATGGCCACTTTCGGCGCCGAAACCGAAGCCGAAATTCGGTCGGTCTCTAGTGTCATCCAAGGGCAAGCTACTCTATATAGGCATACCCAGTGCTTAAAACATGAAAAAACAGAGTATATTTTAAAGAACAACAAATCATATTGGGTTTTTCACACGAAAGCTATAAAATTTAGTTATATACAAAAATTTATACACGAGGCAGATGTACTTTTTCGACAACAAAATCAGGACCACTGCTGTGAGACTAATCAATGCGCAATAATATTTTCATTAAATGCTATCAAGTAGTTTCTTTATCAGTGAAATGTTATGAAAAAAAAGGATAATTTTTTTGGTAAAAAAAATCAGCTCTATTATTCAAGATAGTATACATATTTTCAAATTTAGAAGAAAGTTTAAAATTCTGCTGTTGTAATCACGTTGTGAATGTAATTACAACTTGTGTGGCGCACCATTGGATCAGTGTAAAGTATTCGATCGATCGATGGAGTAATGATAGCAGCTCTTCAGTTCTTTGGGGTAGTTTTAAATGTTTTTGAGGAAATAATTTCTAAAGATTTACACCTAGCCATGGCGCTAACATGACATAAACATATAAGATAACAGCACAGATCTAAACAACCCCAAGATGAACCCTAATAAGATAGAATACATTTAAATAAACACAACATTTTGACAGTTTGGTGTAAGCGTTTTTAAAGAAAGTCTTGACATCACTAAATAAATGTAAAAAAAAAATTAAAAAAAACATAACAAAAAGAAACACAAAAACAACAAATAGAACTTCTCAGATTTAGCAAAGTAACTAAAAAAATTGCCAATTAAGAGTCAGTCGGGGAAATTAGAAAAAAACTTTAAACAATGTTAGAGGCTGGGAGGTGAAGACACAACACAGCTGTTATGGTTTATATTTACACTTGCAACCACGTAGGTCTATAGCCCTCAAGGCTGACAACCGCACATTTTTTGTTCACGCCCCTGAACAATATTAACGTTCTAATGACCCACCCGCTCTTACATCGTAGATTTGTTTCACCAACAATTTTAGAAAAGACTTTTGCCAGCTGTCGAGTATGGGAGTTCATTAGTAATGGTTGCGACTCAATATTATGTTCATTAGTTGTTGAACGCTTTTTCCGCGCTTGACTATTATAGTTAGTGAACGCTCTTCCCGCCATTGTATTTATGACGTATTTTTATGCTGAGTCGTGACGTATTGTCTATACAGTATTGTGACGCATGTTTTAGTCGTGCGGCAGTCTTGAGTGGAACTTTGAATGGTAGCCAATGTTCCCTTCAAGCTGCGCGGCTGCGCCGCAGCGCAGCAATCTCACAGACGCCGCGCAGCAGTTTTGAGTACCGCGCAGCTAATTTCCACTTAAGTGTGTGTTTGTGACTGTAGGCTGTAAAATTTTGCACACACAAAAAAATTGATGCTGTAAAAATTTGCACGCGACTTTATGATTTTGCACACGAACCAACAAACCTTAGAGGGAACAATGGTGGTAGGATGTGTATTATTTATGTCTGATAGCGAGCTGCGCTATATTCACGTGTTATGTGTATAATATTTACTTAGACATTGGATGAGACTCGTCAACCTTGTTCGGCAACTCATCTAAGAGAAGGAAACTCTGAATTCAAACCAAGAGTTGGAGTCCCGTAAGGCGCAAACAATGACAATTCCTGCAACCGGACCCATCCCTGGTCGTCTTGACGTAGAGTCTTGCCACTGGATAGGGTGGGCTCGGACGAGAGAGTGAGGTAGACGCCGCGCAACTCTTCTTCACTTTAAACAAAGTCATCCGCGCAAGTCATCAGTCACCATACGACTCGATGGTCCTCGTCGATCCTCGACGGACGAACAATATATACGTAGACATTAAAGTTATAATTAATATGAAAAGGTGTTGAGTTTGTTCAGTGATAGTAGGAATAGTACGGCGCATTCAACGTGTGAAAGAACTTGACGAATATAATCGATCCAAGAAGACTTAGGAGTTGACACCAGCCAGCCAGCCACCCACTAACATAAGCGAAGTCAATGTAATGGAATTCTTTGCCATTACACATACGCAATATACCAACCACCCAGGCCTTCAAAACTGCACTAAAAACATATATTTTTAAATTATTCTACCCTGACTGATTCCCCTCCTCTGACCGATAAACCATCTTGCTGGCTGCCGTCCATGGTTTGCCTTGTAAAAGCTATGTGGTGGGGTGGGTGAATATACATTGCTGTTCTTTATTTCATAAATGGATTTTATTTTTATGTCATGATTATGTCTCTTTTGATAAAATTTTTATGTACAGCGCGGTGAGCCAAGCCCTAGTCTGGGGTACCGCACTATATAAGACCTCTTATTATTATTATTATTTAATATAGCGGTAGACCTACTTGTGACAGCTGGTCAGATCGTTTAGTTACAGCATTATTGTGCGGTGTTATTGTTCTTTTGTTGTACTAATGTTCTTTTATTGTACTAATGTTCTTTTGTTGTACTAATGTTCCTTTGTTATATAAATGTTCAACTACTTTTTTCAAAAAATAAACTTATGTTGCCATAGTGTTGTTGTCGCCACTTTGACTACTGTGAAAGCGCATTGATCTCACCTTGATTTGAAAGTGGACACGGCAGTTTGGCATTGGTTTGTCGCCAAGCTTTCACTACTAGTTACTAGACGAAGAAAATAAACTTGCATATACACATGTGTAATTCCTTTCTTTTTTTTTTTTTTAAATCTACTGGTCTCGAGGTTTTTTTGGGTTTGTAACGATTAAAGACGGTTTACCGATTTGTTTTTAACTTGTCACGCGGGGAGAAAATCTTGGCCACAAAATTTAAGGAAATTTTNATATATATATATGAAGCGAATGTTGTTCCAAGTAAGCTTTCTGTTCTCATTATGAAACGTTCTCTTGAAATGTTACGGAAAAATGGTAAAATATGTGTGTCCTTGTGTGGTGAGTCTGCGCGCGCGTGTGTGTGTGTGTGGGGAGGGTGGGGAGGGGACCTTTATGAAAGTATATTATCTTATGCTTTGATTTTGTGTATGCGTTTATGTTGTTGTTGTTTTTTGGATGGGGGGGGGGTTCTTCTGAAAGTTGTTTGGGTTCATGTTGGAGGATATGTGTAAGGCGCTGTGTGCTAGAGG